TATTCTAGATCAGTTGGCAACACTTTGCCTGTCTAGCCCTATAACAACAGTAACAGTAGGGGAAAACTGTCTTACTTTGCCCCCCCCAGCTTTCAGCCAAACTTGTGTAGAAACCCATAATATGACAGATACAGCAGGAGGTTCTTGCATTAAAGTATGTAAAAAGTTATTAAAGAAATAATGGTTAACTAAGCTGCTTAGTGTTGTAAATCAAAGAATATGGTACTTTTTCAAAAGCAAACAGTTTTCTACTACTGCGTTTTGCAGTATTAAGCAGTAAAGGTGCTAGTAGTGATATTTTGAAGGTTAGAAATGGGTCTAACCCATTGCTGTGGTCTCTAGGTAACTTCCCTTCTAAGTAATACATATATGATAGCTTAGGAATCAAGCAAATTATATTGTTTTACTTGGTAAATTTGAGGTGAGATGCATATTGTTGAATTTTTTTATAATTGATAAGAAAAAAGGAGCAGTAACAATAATTGTCTGTAAAAGAAACACCATCCTCAGCTTCAGTCTCTCTGACAAACTATCAAAGATATTCTAAAGATTATGCTGTTAAATTTTATATATTAAGTGGGTATGCAAATAAAAAGAACTGGAAACTGGCAAGTCAAGAATCTTCAAGTTCGTTTCCTATATGTACACTTGAAGAAAGAAAATTAAAAAGAAAAGAAAGAAAAAAATGAAATTAAGTTTGCTGTCACTAATTGACAAAAAATCTCCCATTTTGCTGTTTGGATCAATCAAAGATGACAAGTTTATGGTCATGTTAATAACAAAGCAAGCACAGGAAAATATATATATTGAATGCTAGCATGAGACTGGTTCTGTTAAACAAGCCTCCATTTATCCCATTTTTTACTGATAGCACCTTGGAGAAGGTGAATTCTCTATTTCAATTTTGTCTCGTAGATCTGTACAAGAACATCTCATCTTCTTTGTTGATTTTGTACAATTTCATACCTGTATCACAAATTTATTATTTGAGGTATGATGCAGAATAGTTTCTACAACATAGTTTTCAAACATATGCAATAGCATCATTTCAAATCCTGTCACTGAAATTTACCTACAGGAAATACAACAATAAACTATATAATTATATCATCCAGTGTAGTGTGGAAACTTTATCTGGTAACATACTAATCTGAAAGTAAGAAAGTATTTTCTTTTAAATCCTGCCAGTTATCTTTTGCTTAGCAAATAATCGTTGATAGACAGAAACAAGCAGTTTTCACAATAAGTAAAAACAGATGCATTACTTAAGAAAGGAATGTAGGAGTCAGAGTCAGAATCATCTCTTGGGTACTTCAAAATCCAACATTGTTCAATATATTTTTCCTTATCCATTGTGTGTAGACGGCTTTGGATGGCAGAATGTCAAAGTATCTTTTTGTATTTGACAAATGACATTCAGTAGAGCAATAATTATAACCTTTTAGGGTATCAAGACAAGGGAAAATTAATCTTAGTTAAGCATATCCAAAGATACTGCATTTCTATCAGCAGCGCATTCCCCTCCTAGTCTGCTGGGATGGATCAGGATGAAGCTCTGGCCTTGGGTTTAAATAGTAACTCCTGATACAGACTTTCACTTGCTAGTCTTTTGATATGCTGATAAACTACAAATAAATTATCAGTATTCCAGATGCTATCATCAATTTGATCATACATTGTTTTCAGCTGTTGGTAACAGGAAAGACTAAGAAAATATGACCTTTTATTTTACACTGTTGCTGTGGACAGTCATATCTCCTGAGTCATAGGATCCAGTCAATATATTAAGTAGTAAATTCAGTTAACATTCAGTTATTTCAATATCTTAACATCTGAAAAAACTGCAGTTCCTTGAGTACAGGTGCTGTGATTCAAATAGTAAAGCTGCCATTTATTCAGATAGAAATACTTAAATTATTGAACCTAAGGGATTGCCTGTCTTTTATATAAAAGTTTTTATATAAAAGTTCTAAACTGTAATAACCAACATATATGTCTATATTTAAAATTTCCAGTATCTCAGCTGCATACCAACCTGCTATCAAGTTAATCAAAAATTTTATTATTGAGAGCTTTATTCTCCCTCCTCACACACACATTAGAAAAAAATCTTACACTTAAGCATACAAATTGATCCCAAGATAGGAAAAGTCAAAGAGGAAAGTTCATTTCAGGTATATTGCAGTGCAGCTGATCTAGGGTTTTGGCCTTTGCTTCAGAGTATCACTTACTGGCTTACTGCTAAACTGTGGATTAAGTGGAATAGTAGTTTATTCTAGCTTGTCATCTGAATGCTTAAACATAATCTACTTTTCAAAAGACATTCTCCAGTTTTATGTATGGCACATACAGTAGTGGTAGAATGCATTATTGAAGTTCAGATTGAAAAAAAAGTGTTTTCATAAAGAAGCAATTTGTATTAACTGTAGAAAAAAGTCTTTTGCTTCCTATGCAGGAGCAGATCAGAAAAGAATTGACATATCTAACTCATTTTCTTCTCATTGTGTTTGTCCATTAAGCAGATGAAGCTCACACTTCCCATGCTGTTCCATTCATACAGCCCAGTGTTCATTCAGAAACAGAACGTTTCCTTTAGTTGATGGATTAAAGGCAGGAGAGGGGGAGGTGTGTAAAAGTGTTTGGGCATGTGCAATATTTCAAGAACAATGTTTAACAGTTAATTCACACTAGAAGTTTACAATGTATATTTTACACAACTTCAAAACAAAACAGGTTCTGCCTCTTAAATGAACAAAAATAACTTTTAAAGAGAATTGTGTAATTGCTGAGAAGCTAAATGTCAGGTTATTTTTAATAGCAAATCTTGTATAACACTTTCAGTACACTAAAAAAATTAAGCAAATACAATTTTCACCCCACCTTGACTGACCTTGCACTATATTTTGGGAGGTTGAAATATGAACCTAAGAATGTATGTTAGTGACCTTACAAAAACAGCAAGTAAACTCCATATGCAACTTTAAGGGTTATTGTTTGCTTTTTATCTTCACTTGCAGGCCAGGTGTCTCTAGCAAAGTAAATCTGAGGAAAAGCTACTTTTTGTTGGAGGCTCTTTGTGAACAAAACAGATGACATAGAGAGCAGGTGTTAAAATAGTGAAAAAGGCAAACAACAGATATTTTACAGGATGTTTAGCTGTGGAAGAGCTAGAAAAAAACAAAAAAAAACTAAAGCATCTTATTTAGAAGCCTTTGCTCAAAGACAAGAAACATTTCTCTGTCTTGTAAATCAGAATATATATTTTGATCCCCCAAAGAATGATTAGATGTTCTTATCCTATTCTTCTTGGCATTGAGTTCCCAGGGACTGACAGGAAAAAGCATCGTTTTTACTAAATAAGAATGCTTACTGGTTTTTGTTTACCTGATGCCACTTATGATATTGTGTTTGTCTACTTAAGTGCCATTTAGGACTGAAGTGTTGTGTGATTTACTATTTATGTTAGGAAATTGCTGAGCAGCTGGGTAGATTATACTATTCTACTTTGTGTGTTTTTCATCCTACATTGCACATCTGTTAATTTTGGTCTTAGCAATACAATAGTGAGCATTGTAAATTAATAAGTAGAAGGGTAAGTAAGTGGAGGAAAGCAAGTTTGCCTGTTTAAAAAAACAAAAACTACTCAACTGGTATTATTTGTGTCTCCAAATGAAGCATCCTAAACCTATGAAGAGGGATTTAGAATTCCACACTGGAGCCTTCAAGTGTATGCATTTTGGATTTAAGCTTCAAGGCTCATTTTCAGGTTGATGAAAACCCCGTGCTGTTTGTTTTGGAATGTGAATTTTAACACTTAAAATTTTGCCAGCAGATTTCATTGGCTGTATCACAGAAGTTCTGTAATTTTGTAACCGATTAGAGTGTGAGCCCGTAATGCAAAATTATTTTATAACAACGCATGAAATGGCTATTCTTTGTAAAAAACTGAATTCTCTCCATTTGCAACACATATTTCTTTTACTATGAAGAAACCATTATGACATCACTAGAACACCTATTTGGAAATACAGTGCCAAGTCCTTAAAATATTTATTACTTAGAAGATAGACATTTTGGTACAAAACATAAATGCTCATAAATTTACTATGCAATTAGACTATACTATCCTACTTTTCCAGGTAGTAGTGAAATAAAGGCTTTTTAAGTCAAAATCAGTTGAACTGCATAGCATTTTGAATCAAATGAATTTCTATAAAAATGTGAAATAGTGATCAGGTTTATTATCCAGTAATAATAAGAATATATGCTGCAGATTTTTTTTCCTGCTCTTTCAGTTACAAATGTTGCCACTTTGGCAATGACCATGTCATCTGCCTGTAGTTCCAATGGAATTGCATTAAAGGAAGCTCTGTGGTATCTGTAACACCTTTTCCAGACTATATTTCCCTTGAATCTTGTACATTTCACTGAAAATATTACAGGATGCAAAGGATATCTGCTAAAGAATTTTCTTAAAATTCTGTCACTTCACAAGGCTAATTTCACTGCAAGTCTGACTTGCAGTCTTTGCTGGAACTACAGTTCTTTATCAATGGGGTTTAATAGGTTAATTTCAAGTTTTAAAATCACATTTTCAGTAACATTTTTCAGGCATGCCTTAGATAAAGGTACATTCTATATTCTTTAATATAGATCTAAAGCAGCCCTTGCCAGTTAATTATAAATTAGTAGCCGCTTCTCTCATGTCAGAAACTTCAGACATGCCCACAGTCCATCTGTGTATGTAACTTATCCAAACCATTCAAATGTAATGACAAACTTTAAAGCACAATCTCTGCAGAACTGTGCAGTTCATTATTCTTTTCTAGTTAATATTATGTTTCCAGACTTCAAAACAACTTTTTGATTGAAAGGTAATTCAGAAATTTAGCTTAGGCGATGCATTCTGTGAATTTAGGCACTGGTCAAGAAAAAATTAAATTACACTGAAAGAGATAACAAGATGTTAAATTTCTGGGCGAGAAAGGATATTACCCTACCTTCATTAGCCACTGAGTGTTGTTTTCCATGATGTTCTCAAGTAGCTGCAGTCTTTGAACCGAATCATCATAGTCCAGAGGCGCATCCCTTTGCACCGCGTTGGACACGTACGGAGTCGAGGAGCGGCAGTTGTCCGCCTCAGGCAGAAGGAAGGTGTAGCTGCACGACCCGTGCTGAACCTGGTACTGCTTCTTGCCTATCGTCTCCATGCTCTTACTGAAGGAGTTGTATCCTGAAGCTAAGAATATGCCGCAGCCCAAAAAGAAGCAGGCGGCCAGCTGCATTTTAATCCCTGCGGTAACTCGGCGGACCTAGAGAGCCTGGATGCGCTGGCCGGAGCCCGGCCCTAGCTAACCTGCGGCGCAGCCGAGCGCTCCGCTGCCATGTGCCGTCAGGGGAGGGCTGGGCTTGCCCGCCTGCCCCGGGCGGGCCGGGGAGGTG